CTGGCCAGGTGTCCCTGGGCCTCTCCGACGTGCCAGGCACATGCTGTGCTTCCTCCTCTTCCTTCAGAAAAGTTCTTTAATCTTGGCTGATGCGATTCCCTTACTTTCACATTCCTCACCTTGACGAGTAATTTAATATGGTGCCTTGAGCATTAAAATGGGGATATTCAAATCTGTGGGTTCAAAGGAAGAAAAACAATTCACTCATTATCCATGAAAATGAAACCCTGCAATGCCCTGCTCAAAAAGACACAGACCTTCCCAGCCAATTAGCTCTTAATACTAAGCAACTCCTCTTAAGAAAATAAAATTTCTGGGAAACTGAGCGTGGGTTGCCATTTACTCAGGAACTTGGCTGTGGGCGGGGTAGGGGAATGGAGACCCCTTCGCCTCAGCCGTAGTGAAAGCAGGTGGCCTAACCACTGAGCTGAATAGTGGCCCCTTCTCGAGAGCCAGCACTCAGGCACAGACAGCCAGATATTTTCTAACCTCACTTGGGGCCTGAATCGCCTGAACTAGGTGCTGGGTTACGAGAACAAATGTTTCCAGGAGTGCTCAGTCCCTCAGGGAGACAAGCCTTCGCCTTCCCTTATTTGAAAACTGAGAAAACAGACCCGGAAGGGGCCCCTCACAATGGCCTTTGACCCGTCGTCGCCCAGCCAGGCCAGCCCTCGCTCCACCTGTGAGCCTGCCACATATCTGGATCCTAAGGCCCTCCCAGGAGACGTCTGGGAACCTGGTTTCACCACGAGTCTGGGAGTGGACTGCCCTGGGCAGGCAGACATGGTGTCCTTGGGCCCGGCTGTTTCTCCTGAGAAGGGTGCAGTGGAAGGGAGCAAGCTCAACCTCTACAGACGTCCCTGGGCCTGGAACAGGGCACCTCCTTAGCCCTGATGGGGTGCTCTGAATGGACAGCCCTAATGCCCAGATGCCCATAGGGCCTGACCTCCCTGTTTTGACTTAGGGCTTGGAAAGGGACCACGCAGCTCATGCCTAAGGTCCCAAACACCCTGGACATCCAAAGCACCCACTGGGTTCCACCTATGCTGTCTTCTTGAGGGAGAGACGGATTTGCTTTTGCAAAAAGATAAGGGAGCTGCAGGGCACTGCCTCCTTGAGGGGTGCCTCGCTGCTGCTGGCGCTCAAAATAGGCCTGGGGCTGCGGCCTCCATCCTCATCGTGGGAGATGCAAGAAGGCAGGACCCCAATCCCCAGTTGTTGCTTCCTGTGCCTACTGCCCGAGAAGGGGCACCCCTCGCAGAGATGCAGCCTGACTGCCGAGGGAGAAAATGGCCATTGATGCAACATGAATGAACACACGGGGCGGCTGCATGCTTGACTGGGGGAAGCTGCCTGCAAAGTTGCTTAGGAAGGATGAGGGGGCCGCAGGGGGGCCGTCCTTGTCAAGAGCTTCCCGAGCTCCCGCCATGGCCGTCTTCTCAAATGCCCCTACCCTGTGAGATTTCTCAGTTCTCTGTCCCTGATTATGGCTTCCTCCGGGCTTCCTTAGCGTCGCTCCGCTTCCTAATTATAGCCTCCCTCCTAGGTCGGCATTTTAAGAAAATTTGCTGTCTTAACTATGCTTCAGTGTACAGCTCAGGAGTGTTAAATATTTTCAAATTATCATGCAGCCATTACCACCATCTGCTTCCAGAACTTTCTCACCTTCCCAAACTGAAACTGGGCACCCATGAAATGCTCCCTGCCATTCCTTGCCTCCCTGCCCCCGGTGCCCACCATCCATTCTGTCTCTGGATCTGACCACTGTGGGTGCCTCAGGTCGGTGGAATCGTAAGTGTTCGTCCTGTTGTACCTGGCTTGTTCCCTTTGGCATCATGTCCTCAAGGTTCATCCATGTTGTAGCACGTTTTCAAAATTTCCTTTTCTTTAAAGGCTGAATAACATTCCGTTCTGCAGATAGATCACATTTTGTTGATTGGTTCCTCTATTGGCGGACTTTTGGCTGCTTCCACCCTTTGGCTATTGTGAATATCACTGCAGCGAACATGGGTTTGCAAACATCTGCCTGAGTCCCTGCTTTCAGTTCTTTGGGTATAAACCCAGAAGTGTGATTGCTGGAGGTCACCGTGTTCTGAAGGGCCGTCTGTTGGGTCACAGTCAGCTCCATAACCCCAAACCCTAGCTCAGGTAGCTACCTGTTAACTATTGAATGAATGAGGATTGTCACAGGTCAAAAGAAGATAATTAAAAGTTCATTGCAGAGTATTTATCAGTAGCCATATCAATTCAACAGACATGGGCCGTGTGTGTAATGAGATGGAGAAAATTTCGTTTGGAGAATTCTTCTAAGGAGGGAATTATCTGTGCAGGAAACACTTTGATAAATTGCTTGCGGAAGAGTGAGATCCCCAAGGGAGTTGGAGGCAGCAGAAATGATGGCTGAATTCCTGGGGCAAGGAGAGAAGTTTCTGCATCTCCTCTGAGATGGAGGAGGAACAGGAGAGAGGAGAAGAATGGGGATGAGGCTGATGCTAACGGTAGGCGACACTTACTTAATGCTACCCACAGGTCAGGAGTATGATTCTGGGCACTCCTCGTGGCGGCCCTGTGAAGTTAGCACTGCTAGCATGCTCGTCTTACAGATGAAGAAAGTGAGGCCAGGGACTTTAAGTAAATTAACCAAGGCTCATCAGTGGCAGTGCCAGGATTCAAAGTTGGGCTGAGTCTCCAGAACCTGCCCTTTTGGGCACCAAGCTCCACGAAGAGAAAAGAGGGAGCAGAGCCAGTGAGAGCAGGAGCTGTTTACTCAGGGCCGGGGCACCTCTGCCGGCCTCAGAGCTTCAGCCACAGCTCCCAAGCCCTCAGATTCTCCACTGAGGGAAGACGGGATGAGTTAGACATTTGGGTTGCTGTGGAATGAAGCAAGCAGCATGTGTGGACTGGGGCCAGGAGCAAGAAGACCCTGAGCAGTGAAGCCTGAGAATGTGCAGAAGCCGTCAGCAGGCCCCGGGCGTCAGGTGCAGGAAGGTTTGCTGAGTGTCACAGCCACTGCGCTGTGCTGTGTGTGGAGGGGCTGCAGGCTGTGCTGCTGAATGAGGCGTGGCACCTGCACTTCCACCTGGGATGTTTGCTCATTTGGTGTTCATTTATTCATCAGGCAATATACTTTGAGCAACTGCAGTGAACCAAACACTGTTCTAGGCCCTAAGACCAGGTCTCTGCCTTCATGGAGCTCACAGGCTAGGGCTGAAGCCAAGAAACAGGAAGATGACCACGTCTAGCGCAGGTTGTCAGGGGATGCATGCACGCCTTCTGGAGGGTTCCTATAGAAGCAAGGTCAGGTTGAGACATAACGTCAGGAAGGAGAAGAGGGCAGGGAAAGACATCCCAGGCAGAATGCACAGAGTGTGGGAGGGGAGGCTTGGAATTCAGAGAGAGCACACAGTATTTGGGGAGAATTGAAAGAAGTCCACAATAGCTAAAATAGGGCCGGGCGCTGTGGCTCATGCTTGTAATCCCAACACTTTGGGAAATGGGCAGATCACTTGAGGTCAGGAGTCTGAGACCAGCCTGGGTGAACATGGTAAAACCCCATCTCTACTAAAAATATACAAAAATTAGCTGGGCGTGGTGGCGGGTGCCTGTAATCCCAGCTACTTGAGAGGCTGAGGCAGGAGAATCACTTGAGCCTGGGAGGCGGAGGTTGTAGTGAGCCGAGATCGTGCCACAGCACTCAAGCCTGGGTGACGGAGTGAGATTCTATCTGCAAAAATAAATAAATAAATAAATAAAATAAAATAGGACACAGGAGTGGGCAGGGGTTCCTGAGCCCCCAGGCCAGCATGTTGCTGACCTTAGCCTGTACTGCTGCTGGTGGCTGTGGTGCTGTGGCCAGCTGGCTCTCTTGGGCAGCCTTCTTGTCTGGACAGCCCTCTCTGGCTAGTGCATTGGACCATTGATGAGGGGGATGTGCCCGCTCTGCTCAGCACCTCTGAGCCCGACTCCCCCACCAGCCAGCAGGAGAGACCCAGGGGCCTCCGTTTCGTCCTGCTGTCTCTCGCTTGCAATGCTTAGCCTCTGCTCCATTCTACCTCAAACTGCAGGAGCTTTGTTCTCACAGGACTGTCCCCAGGGTTGGCCATTGCAAGTCTTAGGTTTCATGTTGCTGCCTTCACCAGAATGTGAACCTCTCAACTTCAGGGTGCGTGGCCCGCCCTTCCTTCATCCTCAAGGCCATGCCACCCACTGTGCCTGGCGTGCTTCAGATGAACTGGATGTGTTTGTTGAATGGAATTAACATGAAAGGAAGAAGGAAGGTGGGGTGTTTTTTCCACTTTTGCAATCACTAGAGAATGTCAGAAACTAAAAATTTACCCTTTTATTGCAACTTAAATATGGTGGCTTTAACTTATGTAGGAAAAGGGAAACAGGTTTACAGATCTGTTTTGCGAATCACATTGGCTGTTTAATACTAGCGCAAGGGAGGTTTCTGTTTACATTTTTAGACCTAATTACTTCATCCACTGATACTTGCTGAGAGACTTTATGGCTTCCTCGATTATGAGCTCTCTTAAGTGAGCTCGTTCTTAATAATATGTGTAGTTACATCAAGACGGATAACAGGACCGACGTGAAACCAGCATGAAACTGACGTGCGTCAAGGAACTCACGAGTTGTATTGAACAGTGAACCAGTTTGCATGTTTTATTAAGGAAAAATAACCTTCCATTTCTCTTTATTTTCCCCAGCAAGAATAGTTATTGGATTAAAATTATCCCAGTGGATTTCCCTTTCTTACATAATAGTAGTTTAATTTACTAGATTTGAGGGGTAGAAGGAGAAGCACTTGCTGTTGTATATGCCCCTAATATCCACATACCCAGGGTGATGTCATAGTGGTTGGTTAGACAGTCCCTTCAGAAGAGGGGAGACATCTGCTCTAGGAGGTTTCCCATCTGAGGGTCTCTGTCTAGAGACTTCTAGATATTCTCCTGTCTCTGGGCTCAGCAGGAGCTGCGTTTTCCTTGACCAAGACTCACCCGTCCCTGAAGCGCAGCGGCGAGGCGAGTGTGGAAGGACTCCTGAACCAGCTTGTCCTGGAGCACCTGCAGCTGGCGCCTCTGCAGTGGGGTGAGTACCCGCCAGCCGCCCATTGATTCTGGGTGGATGTGCTCCTTTTCTCCAAATGCACAAACAAGGTCTTGGGGGGTGTGGCCAGGCACCCCAGATGTGGGTGGGTGCTGAAGGTCATCACGGGAAACCTTGGGGGAAAAAGACGGGCTCCCCATGCTGCGCCGGCACCTCTGCGTGGGGGCATCTTTGTTCACTTGGGCGGGCAGCTCGGCACTCAGGTGACAGTGCAGACATGAGAAGGGCTCAGTGCCCGTCAAAACAGGTGCAGCAGGCGGATCTCGGCCTCCGTCTTGACTTGCACTTGCTGTAGAGTGGGCTGCCTTCTGAAATGGCAGTTGACTGTGTCTGGCTGAGCGTGTGCTCTGCAACTGTTTCCAGAACTGAGAGTGGCTTGGGATGGCAGAAGAGAACAGGGTGTGGTGAACCCCTTGTTTTCACCCCACTCACCACGACGATGTGTGGACAGCTTTTCATGCTGTTTGTGCGGAAAAGTGTTTGTTTTGTAAATGCCTCAACTCAATGTTGTGTTCAACCCCAAGAGAACTCCATTACTGGACACTTAGCACAGTTTATTTGACGGCTTCTTCTTGTTGCACCTGGGAACTTCCACCCTACACTGTGCCTTTCTAAATTGAACTCAAAAATATTTTGCTGAGAAACGAGCTTAGTATTTCTATTGAAGTGAGAATCTTTATTCTCTGGAAATTATTTAATCAGCTCATCTATTTTGGATCTGCTGCAGACAGTCAGTTGTAAGCATATATATCCCCTTTCTTCCTCTTCTTTACCCAAGAGGTCATTGTGAATGAGTAACTCCTCTTTGATCCAGGATCCAGTTCATTAATAAGCTTGTTCTGCCCCTTTCATGGGCTAGAGACACATGGAAATGATTCCAGTGGCATGAGGAGAAAGCAAGCCTTTCTCCTTGCACTCCACCAGCCCCCTTCAGCCTGGAGACCCCCTCGTCCCGCCCGCAGACCCCCTGGTCCTGCAGAGGCTGCCTCCTGGCCCCTCATAGGTGAACGCTGTTGGGACCAGGTGGGCACCGTCGTGGCGGCTGTGGGTTTGCATTTTACACTCGGGCCCCTTCTGTGGACTCTTCCTCCTCTCTGAGCCCGCCTGAGTGGCAGGAAGGAAAGGCCTGGTGTTCCTGCAGAGGGTTTCACTGTTTGGTTCTCTGGAGGCTTCCCTGTAGCCCAGCCACTTTTCTAGGTGGAAATGTCCTATCTGTCTCCTGATGACCTGGGCACAGTCAGCTGTGTCGCTGGACTCAGACAGCTGAGCCAGGGAAGACACCTGGGTCCCCCTGGCTGTGGGGTGGGGTCAAGCCCAGGGGGACTAGCTGTATTTTATCTATTACCGAAGGAGATTCCACCAGGCAGCTATGCAGGACTTTCATGGGGCAAGTGAGCGAAGGGAGGGCCACAGGCAGAACAGGGTGCCAAGAGCAGAGAGCAGAGTGACCTGGGGTGGGGAGGTAGACAGCAGGTGGGCTCCTCCCTTCTGTCTTAGGGTCGGCAGCCCTAACCCCAGGTAAGGGTTTTTGAGATGGCTTGGGGGCCTTTGTTTGGTTGGATGACCAGCGGGGCACCTAGGAGCAGAGCCCTGGGGGAGAAGTTCTGATGGTACAAGGCTGAACGGGGAGAAGTCCCTGCAGTCTGGAAACGATGCCCTTCCCAGGGCACGGACTGCCCTTGGCACTGTTCTAGGTAGGCCCTAAGGGTAAGGAGGGTTCTAGAATTGGAGCGGCACAGGACAGAGAAAAGGGAAGGACCTCAGACTGCTGAGCATCTCCTGTCCCGGGCATTTTGCATAAGAGCTGCCATGCACTACTTGCCACAGTCCTATGAGTGAGGTTTTCTCCATCATTTACAAACAGGGAGACTGAGGCTCAGAGACTGGCACTTGCCCCAGGGGCTCCAGAGTGAACAGAGCTGGGAGCACTGCGTTACGGGCCACTAGGTCTCCACCAACCAGGGATGAACCGGTCCTGCCTGAATACTGGTGGGGCGGCTGGAAGAAGCCCGGGCAATTTGGGAATTTCAGATGAAGAAAAGCTTTAGTCCTTAATGATCATAAAGGTCCTTTCTGTTCATTTTGGCCTCTCCCCTGGGTGTACTAAGAACACCCTTTAAAAATTGACAATAGTGGGGAAATTAGAGAGAACAGTGGACAATTAGAGCCAAGACTAGGAAGTTGGTTTGGCCCCGGGATGCCTCTCAGCACAGAACAGCCTGGAAGCTGCACATGCCTGTGTGGGCAGAGATGCCTGCCGGGAGGCGTGAAGGCTCTGGGTCGGCCTCAGCCCCCTGCTGCGTTACATGCTGCTTCCATTTCTTGCTCTAATTTTCTTCCCCTTTTTGTACTAGTTTGTTTTCTGTTCCTTATAGCAGAATACCTGAAACTGGGTAATTTATAAAGAAATGTATTTCTTATAGAGGCTGCAAAGTCCCAGGTCAAGGAGCTATGTCTGATGAGGGCCTTCTTGCTGCCGGGGACTCTGCAGAGTGCCCAGGTGGTGCTGGGCATCACATGGCAAGGGAGCTGAGCGTGCTCATGTGCTAGCTCGGATCCCTCTTCCTCTTCTTATAAAGTTACCATTTTCATGCCCATGAGAACCCAGTCATCCATCAGCACATTAATCCTTGAAAGGATTAATCCATTCATGAGGGCAGAGCCCTCATGACCCAGTCACCAATTAAAGGCTCCATCTCCCAACACTGCCACACTGGGGATTAAGTTTCGACATGAGTTTTGGAGGAGACATTCAATCTGTAGCACCCTTTTTTCATAGGGAGGCTCAGGGAGTTCTTTTGGAAATGTAGTTCGGTTCCATGGCCTCTCAGAATCAGGCAGCCCTGGACTCAGGTCCCAGCTCTATCATGCGTTAGCTATGTGACCTTCGACGCATCACTTTACCTCTTGGAGCCTGAGTTTCTTCTTTATGGAACGGGGTGGTGTCTGCTGCACAAGTTGCTCCAGGGATTACATGAGATGGTGTCTATCACGTGCTCAGTGCAGCCGCTGCCTCCATGCACTATTGTTTCCAGACCCGCATCTGTCTCCTCGTCACCCTCCTACCGCCTGTGCTGACTCCCTTTCCCCATAGGTATCGTGGGCCAGCGGTGGGACCAGGCCTGCGCAGATGCCTACTGGGCCCCCACAGCCGGGCTCAGTGCAGGGTGAGAGGTGACATTTCATTGACATTGTTGACCTTGTTTCACTGCAGCCTCTGGGGAAACAGGTAGGGGGACGGGGTGAGAGAGAAGAGCCATGGTTTTCACTGCACTCTTGTCTGAAAGCAAAGACCTTTCATGGTGCTTCAGTCCCCTCTGTGGTGTAGTAGAGGCTTTTGGTGGAGCCAGGGGACCTGGATGTACGTTTCGGTCCTGCTGCGTGCTGCATCAGGGATGCCCCCTGAGCCTCCATTTCCCCATCTCAGGGCGGCATGGACCTCTCCCATGGCGACCTCACATATTGCTCTGAGGCTCAGAATCAAAGTGAAATGACATTTGTAAATGTGTCTGGCACACCATAAATCCCTACCGCCTGCAAAGCAAAGATTTATTATAATCACTTCTGTTTTAAAAGCTACAGTCTTTTATGCGATATTTCTGTTATTCCTGGAAGATCAGCCCAGTTCCAGGAGCCATATACCCGAGCCCTAGTGTGAAAACTCACAAGGGGCTCTCCGTGAATCTGTGGCATTCATCCTCAACACCCCCTTGCCCACCCCAGGGACTGGGCAGCACGTGGACCCCCTTCCTGGCATCCATGCATGGTGGGGCCGCCTCCAGACAGAGGCCCAGGCAGGCGCTCTTCAGTCTGGGGGACAGCAAGGAGAGGGGTGAGGCCCTGCGGTGTGGAGTGTGGCCCATGGCATTAAGAGGTTGTTACATGTTTTTCTTGCTTTCAGTAAATCGGAATTGGCCCAGGAGCTGCCGTCCTTTACTGTCTCTTCTTGGAGAATTTGAGAAGGTGGTTTTGAGGTCTCGTTTGCATGGCATAGAAAGATGGTTAGCAGTTGGGAGGCCACCTCTTTGTCTCATAACTAAAGAAGGGTGGGCTTGCCTTTGTTAGGGTAGTGGTTTGAGACGCAGCACTTCGGACATCTGAGGACAGTCGCCAGATGTGGCTGAGTGACTTCATCATGAGGCCAGAGCAGGTGTATTTGCTAGTTTGGAGGACATAATAATTCCCGCTTCACCAGGTGGTTAGGCAGCTCAGGTGGTATAGAGGGTGGATGGGAGGTGGGGGTGCTTACCACATGTGATGCTCTGTACATGAGTGTTGAGTGAACCAATTGGCAGTCAGATCTATTTTTGTTAAATTATTAAGGTTCGAACAGAAAACACACCTGGATCTAAAGGAATTTTGGTTCCCTAAAAAGGCTAATAAAAATGAAGTTCAACTTGTCTTAATATATTCTATCAGGCGAAAGAAACAAATTCCCCAGGGAGGGATAGTCAGCTGCTGCCACACCTGGAGTGAGCCTGTGGACAATCTGTCCTGCCAGAGGCCACCAGGAGGAACCTCGGGAGGGAAGGAGGCTGCTTCTGCAGCACCAGGTCGTTTCTTCCCCAGGCTTGCTTTTTCTGTTTGGTAATTGGTAGTGTTTGGGTTGTCGTGGGCACAGAGGCATGTTGGCAAATAATGTGAATATTAATCCCTTTATCCTGGAGGAAATGCATGGCTTTTAAAAAACAGTGCTAAGATCTGCAAGGCATTTCTGCCTTCAGGAGGTGAGCCTGTCCCTGTGGGAGCCCTGACAGCGAGCAGCCCAGCCGTGCGCTTTCAGTTGCCGGCGGCACCTGCCAAGGCCAGGGCCTAGCACGACAGTGTGGAACCATTTCCAGAAATGGGGCATGATATTTTCCTGTTTGCAGTGTCACAGTTTATCTCACTATTATCATATCTGGCTGTTTCCAGTGAACATGTTAATACATGTAAATTTCGGTTCGATTTTCTGACTAGACAAGTTTTCTAGTTAGGCGTTA